ATACTAATAAAATACATTTGTTTTGAATTAATTCTGTATTAAAATCGAATAAAATTGGATTGAAAATAGCTGTTAAAAGAGGAAACAAGGAAGCTGTGTCCTAAATTGTAACTCCGTTCAATGTTATTTGTGGCTTTTATTGGCAAATTTTTTGTCCCTTTACTAAATAATTGTAAAAAAAAAACATATACTAGATCATCAGTATCATTAAATAGACATAAAAAAATGTCAAATGTCAAAATTTTTTGCCAGATAGAATTTTTTAAACATTTTTTTATGTTCCTGGTATCTTACCTTACTTGAAAATTTTCTCTGGGGCTCGAGTTCTGGCGCACTCTGTATTTGTGTCAGAAAAAAATGGCGAAGAAAGGAATGCTGTAGAATTTTGAAGATTTAGTGCTGTTGGAATTTTTCTTTTTCTAATTTGATGAAATTTATTTTTTGTTGGATGATAATTACAATTTTTGAAATAATAGATATGTAATTATCCTCTTATGAAATAGTTTACGAAAGAAATAAAAAAATTGTATTTTTTTGTACCTGTAGTAAAGCAACGGAAAACTTATTGGGGACCCCAACAAAGTACTTGTTTTATCGGTTTATTTAAAAAATCTTGTTTAAAAATTATACATAACATCGCTTTTTGTTGATTAATGAAAATTTCTGAATTAGTTGTCAATTTTTGAAACTTTTTACAAGCACTTATTTTATAAAATAAAGTACCGGAAATATTACACAGTATTTAATATCTTTGGTAGATTTAACAAGGAAAGATTATTATCTACGACTTCCCTTTCGTAATTCATAAGTAAATAATGGGAAGGTTAATAAACTTATAAGAGTTTAAGAAATCAAATAAATTTCGAAAACCGTCTTAACTAAAATCAATTAAGAACTTGTTATTTAAATCGGAATTATTTATTTTGCAGAAAAAATTTAAACTGTGAAATTTGTGATATTTTAGGTCCTAAAATTTGGGATATGCTTTCATGTAATTTTCGTTGGAAAAATATCTGAGACAAAAGTAAGCTTTTAGTGCATTACAGTTTCCGTAAGCTTTTTTACATAAAATTATA